GGAACTGGCGCTGGGCCTTCATGTCATCCATAATCTTTCTCGCCTTGCTAGGCAGAGAATGACTGTGGTCTCTCATTATATTGTTGCACGGTTAATGACACCGAATTATGAAGCAGCTGCATTGTCCTGGAACCTTGCAATGGAGCTTCTGAAACTTTGTGTATGAGTCTTGAAAAGCCTCGAAGACAGATGACTGTTGCTAGAATCTGCTAGAATACTAAAGACAACTCGGTTTGTTGAAATGGCAACAAACCTGCTCACAACTTACAATGATGACTTTCATGGTTGAACTGGCAACACTGAATCACGTGACCAATGAAAAAACTCGATTGCACACAACAATAGACGGTCCACGGCCTTTGTATCACTTCACTAGCACTAGCCTTCACAAGCCCCGACTACTCTGACTACACAGCTGCAGCACTTCTCGGTTCCCAACTGCATCCACACTCCTCATCAACTTCTCGCCCATGAGAATTCGATCAATGTGCAAGTTGGTAAAGCATTTCGGCGTGTTGCCACGGGCCGCAACCACAGACTCCAAAGGTTTGGGGACCCCCTCTGGGTTGTCAACCACGGCAATCTCCGCGCCGGCGGGTGCTTTCTTGCCCCCCTTCCTCTTGGGCTTGGCAAGCTTCTGCAGTCGCCCCGACTGCTGAACTTTCAACTTCTTTGCCTTGGGACCGTCACCGTCCTCGTCGTCACCAGCCTCGGAACTGCTATCACCAGTGGCCTTGACTGGCTGCGCACCGCTCTTGGCCACAGCCTTTTGGGCTTTCTCTTTCAGCCCCTCCAAGGACTTGAGCTCCTTGAACTGCTGCTCGGTCTGCAGTCCCTTCGGTCTCTGCTTCAGCTGCTCCTCGCTGTGGTAGCTGAAAACCGCTTTCCCTTGCCCTTCTACAAGCTGTTTCGCTGCTTGCAAAAGCATGTCCTCCCTTGTCAGGCCGAACCTGTACTTGCAACAAAGCTTCCTCATTCCGTTGGTAACGGTGCAGGGAAGCCCATCTAAGGTGATGATGAAAAAGTTCTTGTCGTGGCCGAGCGGGCTCGGCACCTCCTGCAACTCAGCCTTCACAGCTGATCCGGCGAACGTTGTCAGAGCCTCGAACTCTGCCTCCGACAGGAGGCCCAATTCCTGGTGAATCTCCATCTCCACGGTTTCCCAGTCTACGACATTGCTGGCGGTGTCCCACTGAGGTGGGTCGATCTCCCCCGACCGGATCCTCGCCGACTTGAGGAACTTGGGCCGCCACTTCGGCTCCTTGTCGAACCTCACTGTTTTGTTCCCCCGCATTGGCCCCACATGACCGCCACATTGCACTACGGAACACACACACACACATAGGCTGAAAACAAGGATGACTGACTAAGCTCTCCACTTCTCCTTCCCAGCAGACCACGGCTTCCCCGGGTTAGTGTCGCTCCACGTGCCGCCACAGTTGTAACATCCATCATCCACAGGCATTCCTGTGGAATCTTGGCTCATGAACGTCGTCTCCTTGGACATAACACTCTGTGGCACCACTGACTTTGTTGCATGATAACAGTAAGAAGTATGAGACAACATTTTCGCAGCCCGTGACTCGTTAGCATGGAAGAATTACATGGTTACATTGGCCATCGTTGCATATGAACATGTGGTACAACCCAGGATTCGACACGCTGCAACTTCAAAGAAAACTCAACAATCATTTCCGAAGCGGTTGGGTGTCGTCGGAGGACTTGCCGCACATGTGGCACCTCCTCACAAAAGTACGGCCTCGAGTGGGCACTTGCTGACTCTGCCTGCTCTTCTTGGAAGCTCGGCTTCCTCGCTCACTGTTGCGATCGAACTCGTCAGCATCATCATCACCCGGGGGACCTCGCTTCGGCGTCTTGTCCTGCTGCCAAGTGGACGACACGCAAAGGTCGTTGTTTCTACAAGCATAAGCACAAAAGTCACCGGCTCCCAAGCGGATACAGAATGCAGCAACCCAACGAGAGACGTGTCTGCAGCTACCAGCTACCTACCTTGACACTTCTGCGACACTGCGAACACACAGCCGCAGCACTCCTTCCCACGTCTGGAAGCACCAGTGCCGCTGCCGCTGGCCCGCATTGTCAAGATCTGGACTCTGCCGGGCTTGACAAAGGATCACTAGCACTAGCTATGGACTCACTGCCCACACGGCTGAAAGCCTGCAGCATCACAAGGATGGAACAAGACATGAGAAACTGCGGCTGCAAAGGGATGGCCCACGCTGCATGAATCAAAAAAGAATCAGCTGCCACACAAGCACAATGCTCTTTCAGCACCGGCTTCTCCTCTCGATGTGTCCATCGAATCCATCTGCCACAAAGACAACTAGCTAGCTGTGCCCTAGCTGTACAGAAGCAGCAGGGACCCGGGGACCTAGGATACTGTAACTGTACGGCCAGACTCCAAGCAAGGCGCGGCGAGTCTGGTGGCTGGACTTCCAACTCGAGTGACCAGACAATCCGGCTGGGTTCCACACGTAATCTAGCCCTTGCAGCCCTGGTCTCTAGTAAATCAACAGGATGAAACCGAGGACCAAACCTCCAGGGTACATGAGGCATTACAAATAAGAGATTGGGACAGGATAGGAGTGTGTGGAGTGCTAATTTTAAAAAGCTCAGAAACTTCTCATTATCTGACTGTACACATGTCTGGGTGTAGGTCTCGTATTTTTGCCAGGAGCAGGATATTTTCTCAATGACATCTCCCCTGAACACAGCTCTAGGACTGCTTCCGGCCACAACTTCTTCCTGATGTGAAACTTGCAGAGCCTCGCAAGACACGCACAGTATCATACTATCTACCCTATGTTTTATGTCTTATATATATATATATGTAGTTTATTGCATTGAATAATTCCTTTACGAGCTACTAGCCATTTCCCAGCACTTCGGAGAAACTCACCAGGAGTAGTTACCAGAAACAGAAGCAGCGAAACTCTGCACACCATCGAATCATACGCTGAGTCATTGTTTCTGTGACTCGATGGAGAACGAAGCCTCCCATCTGCAGAAATCTCCATATGTCCATTCCAGGACTGGGAGAAGAAAGTCGGAACAGATTTCTGAAGCTCCTTCGGACACATCCTCTTAGCTTTGGCACAAGATTACACATTCAAACTTCATGCTAACACGTCACTACACTGCACTGCCACTACACGTGCTGCATACTATACTATACCAAACTATACCATGCCATACTGTACAGCACAGAACCCTCGCCACTCCGACAATCAATGAGTCCCACAAAAAACTTTGTCTCACACATCCTGCCGAGACACATGCATTTCTACGAATGGCCAAAGAAGGCCCACAGAACAAAAATCATCATATGAAACAGTGCTGGGCACTACGGCTTTCAAGAACACCATCACTCAGGGAACTGCCGTGTCAAGTACAAGCACCAAATGACAGCAGCAAGTGAAGGGATTGACATACCATCCCCAGCTACCTTGCGCACCTCCGGCTCTGGGATGTCGGCCGGAATCACAAAGTCTCGTGGGAAACCATGAAGTAGCAGCATCTCGTAGCCACTCAAGACAACATCACGGCTGAAATCATACAAAACCGTGCTTGTTGTGAAGGTGCGAACAAACCCAGATTTGTTGCTGTGGGCACCACGCTTCACCCCCTGGCTGACATCGATGAATTTGCCCTCCATCAGTGAACGCATATCCACCCTGGCACATTCATCAGGCCGGCCACAGTTTTCTTTAAGTTCTGAAGCCACATAGCAATCCAGTACGTCCAACATCCTCTCCGAAGCTGGTAAACCAACTCCAAGGAACGACCTCCTGGAAGTCCATGGCTTATAGTTCTCCGAAACCCCGAGGGTCTTGCGAAGCACTTTCGATTCGGCCTTCCACCTTTTCGAGGCCGAAGTAGGGTCCTGAGCATCGAAAAATATAAGCTTTTAGCAGGAAAATGTCTTTCTGTCATTGAAAAGTAGTCCACATACTCAAAAAGAGTGTCCGACTACTTTTCAAAATAAATCCACAACAAGCCTAGAAAGGGCGAGTTTTTACTAATTTCGTTTCAAACGAAATTTGCTTTTGGAAATAAAGGTTTCATCCTTGTTAGAGGAGTTCGACCTGCAGTGCACTTGTATGTGAGGCTGGCAGTCCGGTTGAAGTTTGTATTCATGATGAAACACAAACCTAGGACCTAGGCTTTGAAACTCTGTGTTTCGTGAGCATCGAACCCCATGCCACCATCATCATGCCAGGTTTGCAAAGATGAGCACCAAACTCGCGCACACATTGACCCGGAAGCCTGGGACTTGGGGGGCTGGTGGAAGGAACGTGACTATGGGGCTGGTGAACTGGCTTGGTCTGGGAGGGCCTGCCCTGGGTGCGGATTGGCTGGAGGCCCGTGGTGTCGCTTTTTCCGCTGTTTTTTGGGTTGCTTTCTCATCGCTTTGTTTTGGGCTTCTGGCTCCATTTTGGGGCCTGTCCCTGTCCTTTTCTGGTCCTTTTTGGTTCCTTTTTGGTCCCTTTTTGGTCCCTTTTTGGTCCCTTTTTTTTCCCTTTTTCGTCCCTTTTTCGTTCCTTTTTTTTCTCTTTTTGCTAGGGAAAATGCAATTTTTGCTTGCCAGGGTGGTCCGGAGCCAGGGCTCCGAAAAAGGGAATAAAATGCACTGGAAAAGCGAACGATTTCCAGCCAAATTGAGAAAACGGGACGGCAACAATGTGGCAAAAAAGCAAACGAAAAGCGATTTCTCGACTCCAAAAAATGAGCCCTGAAAAGCAAGGGCCAGTAACAATCCAAAAGAAAAGCGACCACACCAGAAAGCCAGGTTCTGTCTCCCTGCCCCCGCCTTCCCCCCATCAGGACCCCACTGAAGCCCTCATCGTGCATAAACATTCTCCCGGATCAAACAACTCGTGCAACTAGCCGACTAGCCTTCCACTGCGGCCCTGAAAAAGCATCCACACCGCCCACACCCCTCCATGCCCCTTGACCCCTGCCCTTTGCAGCATCGAACATCACGAAGCATACAACCATTCTGAGTAAAACTCCAAACTCCGAAATCTATCAATCAACAAGTGTAATAATGTGACCAGGTCTTGTTGCCCAAATGTCGTGTCCATGCACTGAACTGCTAACCACTCGGAGCTCCACACTGCTGACTGACAGAATTGCAGCAGAAGAACCTGGCAGTCCATCGGGGTCACCCCTCGCGGCACGTCCTCCAGCCTCCTCTCTGGCAAAAGATCGCTGAGCTTCTTCGGGGTCGCCTCCTGCTGCTTCGTGATGAGGTCCTGCAAAGCAATCCAAAAACGAGCCAACAAAATCAGCCTAGCGCCTAGGCCTAAGCCTAAGCCTAACCAAGCAGGCAATTGTCCGGGGACATAACCTAACCGCTGTATTGTACCTATACCCCACCCTGCTCATTTCGCATTCAGACCTCATCACCTCGAAGAAGGCTGGGCTTGGACTTGGGCCTAGACTGTCCTACACCTGTTCTGCAGAACACAAGCCGATGCAGCAGTGGCAGGTGCACACAATATTACAACATGAGGCTCGAGACCTGACACCAGCACGAACTCCGATGCTGCAAAACAGAACTGGCCTTGTAAGTCTTGGCAAGGAAACCAGCATCTGCGACACCATACACGTCCTTGCGCAGGAAGACGACGAAAATCCTGCATTCAGGTAAATTCAGGTACAGTCGAAGTAGCTTCACTGTTGCACAAGAGCACCGGGAAATGAACCGTGCACACTTACCTGGGGGTTCGGGAAGGAATCAAAGACCCTGAAGACAAACCAAAATCCAAAGTCCAAACCTAGGATCCATGACTGTGCGACTTATCTGCGCTGCAGACGAACTGACGAACAGCGAAGCTTCAAGAAGCGCATGTCACAATTTTTCACCGAATCACTGGAGGCTCGTCAGGCTCATCGTGATTCCGTGTGCGTTCGTGACTCGCAACATCCGCAGCATGTGGTTCTCGCATGAACTCAGCTCTCGCTTCCTGCCTAGACAGAAGACTGAGATGTCGAGGCACTGCCATCTGCTTGTGCTCTTGTGAAGAGCTGCACTGTCCTGCGGCATTGAGCCAGGCACACAAAAACCCGATGGGCCTCCCTTGCGAGGGGTTCGTCGCAATTTGTCGTGGAGCTGAAGCTGGGTTGGTGGTGCGGGTGATTCTGCAGTCAATATGATCAGGATGACGGCAGACCGCCATGATGTGACAGTCTTTGGCATTGAAGCGAAGGTCTCCTAAACTCTTGAAGCCCACCACAGTTGTCGGGCGTGGTTCGGCACGTGGGTGGGCTGTGTCTGCACGAGCAGGACCCATATCAGCATCATCGACAGAACCTGCAGCAATGTCTGGCGCTGCTGCAGCGGCTGCAGCGGCTGCAGCGGAGCCTTCCGCTTTCAAGCTTCCATCATACCCAGGCTCCTCCCTCTCCAAAGCATCGGCCACATACTCAGACCATGGAGTGCTGGAGGCCTCACTGCGGACTTCCTCATCATGCAGAAGATCTTCTTCCACTGGATCTCCAGCCACATCGTCCTCCGGTTCGTGCGCAGGCAGAGGCTCCACGGCATCTGTGGATGAGCCCGGCGCAGACTTGGTTCTTTTCCGGAACCCAGCTGTGGCTGAAGATGTCTCCTTCTTCCGCTTGCCAGATGAAGGCACAGGTCGACTTTTGGAGTTCTTTTCATGGCGGGCCTGTTCTGCCGGCCAGCCCTGCCAGAATTCCATGTTGGGCACTTCTGCATGCTGTTTCACAAGCACTGTGTCGGGTCGCATGCTGGCCCTTTCCAGCTCATCATTGTTGCTCAAGATCATGCTGACAGTGAACTGCCACGGGCCACTGAAATTGATGCCGCTTTGCTCAAACATTCTGACGGAATGGCAACATTCTTGAGGTGTGGGCACTTGAAGCTTCGTGTACTCAGGCCGAGCCTCATCAGCACCAGCTTCGTCCAGACGCAACACACCGAGAGCCCACGTCGTATAATTGATGTGGCCGAGATGGAGCCAGAGGGAAGTTGGAGAATCTGCTTCACCCTCCGCACTGACATTCATTGCAGTCAGGGCCAAAGCTTTCCAGGAGGAGTGCATGTACTTGTGAGGCAGAACCTCTTCTGCTGCGGCAGTTCGGCTGGATGGCCGCAAGCAAACAACAACGAAACCATCATCCAGAAGCTTTCGGTTGGATTTCAGTTTTGTCTGCTGATGCTGCTCGGCTTGCGACAGCTCCTTGATCACCATGTTGCCAGCAGCATCCCGAATCTTGCGGGATCTCTTGGGTGTGAAGAATGCCTTCAAACAGAAAATCAGCCTGCAATGAAAGAGGTAAGCTTGCAAGCCACGTGAAGCACAGACACACATGCCGAGCTGTGCACAACGAGTTGGAAGAGCATCTGAAGCATCTGGAAATGGTGTCTCATCTGTGTTCAAAATCAAGTCACACATGCTCTGCCACTTGTCCAAAAGAGAGGCCCGCAAGGTGCTCTTTTCACCAACTGAGAGCAGATCCTGCACAGGGCCACCAGACATGCGGCAGGAAACACTTCAAACAAGGCATGGTGACAAGGTTTGTGGTCCTACATCAGTAGCGGGCTGACTCTTTTTGGTTTTCAAAGTTTTCCGATTAAAGCTGAAACCCTTGATTATCTACGGGCCATTAAGAGGTACAATTTACTGTTCATTATTCCTTCCTTGCAAAGCTCCAAAGCTGAGGCTTAGGGCTTAGGGGCCTAGTTACAGTTACCTAGTCGATTAAACAAGAAACCGGCAGAACTTCTGAACCAGTAGTGACTAGGTCCCTCATGATTGAACCATCTAACCCGGGCACTTCGCCGATCTTGTCCGCTGGTACGCGCATTTCCGCCGACACGAGGCCATTAAGCGCAGGCACATGCTCCACCACACCACATTCTCGAAAAAGATGCTCTTGATCTTGCCGATGCTGAACCCGGCTGTCGCGAAAAATGTCACACCAGTCTTTCACAGACGCAGATCGCCTGTGATACTCCTGCTGAACCACCTGCAGTTTGTCTGACAAGTCTGCAGCCATCAACTTGTAAGCCTGGTCAGGGACTGCCAACTCCTGGTGGCCAGCGGCAGGCACAGCCACAAGAGCTTCCACGGCCACTTCCTTGCCAGAGCCAGAAGATGATGCCGCTGCTGCAGGAATAGCACCATGATGAGCATAACCCGGCAGACCTCGGGCTCTCGCACAGAAAGCCACGTCTGCCATCTCTTGGTACCTCTGATGCTCTGCGGGTGTCAAGCTACGGTACTCCTCAACGACAGCAGCGTACGAAGTGCTGCCGAGGTCAGAGATTCTGCGGCGGCACTTCTCGCTGAGGAATGCATTCCAAGGATTCTTTCGCTCCGGCTGCTTCGGCTCGGGCGGCACGGTGTCTGCTTGGGCTGTTCCGGACACAGGCATGTCACGGCAGAACTGGGCTCGGTCAGCACTGTTCGATCCTCAGTCAAATCAAATCATAGCATAGCCCTACGGTTGATGATTTAAATCCTGCATTACCTTAAGGACCCTAAACTATGGGAATTATGGTATATTCCTTATTCCGGGTCATGCAGGATTTATATCATCAACCGTATGTCATAGGCCTAGCCCAAAGACTTGGCTGAAACTTGCACTTTCAGAGAGGACTTCAACATCTCAAAAAGATTGAAAACTTTCACAGAGGACTTAAACATCTCACCAAACAAGACTGAACATATATCCTCCAAATGTCGGCACACCCAATCGGCCCCCACGGCCGTCAGTGTCGGGCGGTGTGTTTGCACCGATTTGATGGTTGTGATTCTCCGTGTTGATGCATGGCGGGCTTCTATCGAAGCAATGTGCAACTGAAACATTGAAGCGATGGCCGTCAGAACAGCTTGCGACTCAGGACTGTCCAGGTCACAACCCTCCGAGAGGATCAGCTTTGTGAGACGGCAGTGCATGCACTCCGGATCCTTCGCCTCGTGCACCTTGTCTAAACTCTTGAAGAGCTTGATTGGGTATGACCTGTAGGTTGTGCCGATCAGAAACTCCGTGCTGCACACATTGCGGCTGAGCATGCGAAACAGAAGCACCTGGTAGTGGCGGAAGTGACACCATCGCGGGAGAAGCACGATCTGCTCGTGGAAGGTGTCACTCACACTCCGCCGGTAAGCATTGAGATCTGATTCCCGCGCCGCCTCAAGCACCGCATACGATCGACGGCAGCCTTGGGACTCTCTTTCGTCCTCTCAATGTCTTCCCATTCCGCACCGCCCGAATAAATCAGGCGGTGGTAAAATCGAGACATTGGCCGCAAGGCCTGAAGCATAAGAAGCACAGGTGGGAACAACGGTTGTTGAAGCCACACCTGCACTTTCTGCCGCATCTTCACCTTGAGCTCCTTCCAGTCGATGTTCCCGGTGACAGCCTCCATGTCTGCCTCATCTGCATCGACCTCCTGACGGTCATCCTCTGCCGCACGCGGCAGCACCGTCGGAGTGACATTCAGAAAGTCTTGCAGCGTAGGGCGAAGCAAGCCATGGCAAGCCTGTGCCAGTCCGAACCACAGGAGAGAGTCATGGAACCCGTCCCATCGGGTGCGCGAAAAGATTGGAGGCCGCTTTGGAAGCAAAACTGGGATGAGCCATTTTGCCATGAGTTGCACAACATGCTCTTGCTCCAGTCCCCATGTTTCACTCCAGAACCATATCTCATCTTGGTCTTGCAGGTCCCCGTGCAGGAAGAAGTTGATGATGGCTCGACTTCGCTTTCTTTGCAAGTAATGCTCTTGCATCCTGCCAAGAACATGCTCATCTCCATCATCGTCCTGCAAGGGTAGGAAGGTTTCCAAGACAGCAGATCTGTACTCGTTTGCAAACGGATCCTCCGGCCGAGACCCGAAGCACAAATGCACCTTGTCTTTCAGAACCTTCTCCATCGATGATCGAAGCGATCGGATGCTTCCCGCGTCCATACAAGTCAAAGCTGTAGCAACCATCCCGGTGACTTGACCGTCCAGCATCTGGACGGTCTTGGATTGACAGGTGTGGGTCATATGCACAACACAAAAATGATGTGTTGTGCAGCCGTTGATTCCCCCAGTGTCGAGGAGTCTCTCGGCTTTCAAGTTGGAAGCACAGCGATCGGTTGTCACGAGTTGCAGATTATATTTGGCCTTTTGGCCGAAGGACTGGAGGCCAGGAATCATGTCCAGAATTGACCTCTGGGCCTTGGCAGTCGTCTGAGCATTTGTTTTCTCCAGCGCCATGAGCCAGCAAGGCATGGGAATCCTCATGCTGTAGTAGGTCGCGCTCGAGACATGATTCATCAGAATCAAAACATCGCATCGGGTCTGGAGGACTTTCGCAGTCCCCTCCTGCTTGCTTCGCTTCTTGTTAAATGCACCCAATTCAGAATGTGTCATCCAAGCGACGCTGATATCCGAAGGAGTTTCATCATAAGCCCTTCGGACAAGGAGCATCACCACCCTGTGGGTCTTGGGATTCACACCAGCACACAGCTTTGACAGGGTAGCCAGCAAGGCGGCCCCAATCAAAAAAGCTGAGAAAACTACCAAATAACATGCTGCCTGCTGCATCACGACGTGCAGTGCTTGTCTGTCCTGCTGCATCATTGCAGCCTGTGAGGTCAGGCTGCCCGTAGGCCGAAAATGCAGCAGCAGTTCACTGAACATCCTTTTGAACCTTGCCACGGTGGCTGTCTTGGCCCCTCTGAGCTTCCACGCAGCTTGCGCGAGTTGCTGCTGCAAGTCTGTTCCGAGCTTTAGCAATCCAAAACTTGCCAAAGCGAAACCGTCAGACTCATCCTGACAAGGCGCTGCTTCTGTGTATCCAGCTCGGGCTGCCCTTGCCTGCGCTGCTCTCTCCACCGCAGCT